TTGACACACTATCCTTTGATCGTTGAAAACAAGTATTATTCGTTTGACACGCCACTGCTTAAAAATTTCAAACCGCGCGCGGGCTCGTGTCTGCGATTGTCATTAATAATATGCTTTCAGTATAGTGAATTACGTAACACACGAAAAAGGACAGTTCATATTTTCATTGGGAGTTACCGCAATTTGACTATTTTGCACATTTACAACCATCTTTTTGGTTGTTCACCTGTCACAATTAATGACGGCAATCTTCGTCTGTGGTTTCAGATGCGTGCAAAGTTGATTTCACGGTGAGTTCACAGAAGTTTAACAATTGTAATTCTACCAACCAAAGTCAGCGAAACTGGACCGGTGTGTTCGGTGCTATTGGTCAGAAAAAGCATCGAGTCTAGGTTGAGACCGGACAGAAGCAGGTGTGGAGATGTAGACGTCAGGGCTGCGAATTAAGTGGTAGTAGGGAGCGACGTCTCTTAATCCGGATTTCCAAGTCTTTACATAGTACGTTCCAGCAATTGTATCTCAGAGGGGTAGGAGAGTCAGCGTGGTCTGCCTCTTACCTGATTGAGTTTTATGGTCTCAGGTAGTCGAGCTGCTGAGACTAAATCCCTGTGAGTAGTGAATGACGCACATATTCTGTCTGTTGTGCAACAGATCCTGCAACTAAGTGCCTGACAAATAGTTTAGACAACTTTAGAATACTGTTAGTTAAAATTGTAAGGGGATTTAGCTTTATCACGAATTCCTCTATTAGTTCTGGGCCGCAAGCTACAGTAGATGCATGGACAACAAACGGAAACATTGTGTAGAGGATTTGCAGTAGGCAGACCAGAAAAGAGGCTACGGAGACGGGAGGCAAAATGAGTGGCACACTTAACATCGTCCTATTACGGCACCAGACAGGACGAGCGCTGCAAGTCCACTCTGGAAAAGCGGACCGATATTGGCACACATTAAAGTCTACGTACTGGGAAGAGGACAAATTTTGCGCACTTGCCTAATTTTAGTTGTCATCACATGTCTACTTATTTGAGCTAGGTAGGGATGTTATATTAGGGTTACCTTTCTGCCTGAGCTTAAGGGATAGGTGAATAAGGTAGACAAAGGCGCGATCACTGGGGCAGCACCTTTGTCTTCTTTACAACAAAAACCTGGGGCACGCATAATTGCTTCTATTCAGATAGGTTAATGTTAAGGTGGCGGTTAATTTTTCCCCTCACAGACCGTGTCACCAACTGTAACCTGCTTTACCCAATAATATCGAGTTCCTGTTTTTCGCACGTCTACTCACCCCTGATTTTTTTTTATTTTATATTGCGCGTCTGTTTCAATATTTAATGGGGGTAGTAAAACAAACGTGTACTAGAAATGCGAATATTTGGAATACCTTCCGCAGACTGTTAAATACCTCGCTCATCTGCGAAATCAATAAAACTTATATTACCATCCTGCCCGTTTTACAGAATTCCTTGTGTTCCATATTTTTTAGTGAACTCACCCATTAGGTCCTTACCTAAATCTTCAACAAAGAGCGCTACGCGACGAAGCAGAAGAATAAATGAAATTTTGTGGCCATGTGCAAAGAACATGGCAATGGAAGTTAGAGTGGGGCTTTTTGAATTATTTTCAATCACAGGCGTCGGCTAATACCGAAATTAAGTCGGATCGGTGAAGGCCCTAATTACTGTCTTTACTCGTGTCGATGTAACACAGACCCAGAGACTGGGATGCAGACCAACAACCAAATTTCAGCCAGACACAAAGGCGTAGGGACCAACAAAGCACTGTTTCTGCTACTGCTTTCTGCTTATGTCTCTGATGAAGAATCCGCGACGGATGTGGAAACGTCAGACGAGTAAGAGTGTTGTCCCAGCGATCGAATCTTCTTCGTCTCAAAGTCCGTGTATCTGTTCCGGCCGCTGACAACAAAGATGCCGGGAGTGCAAGTAGCAATTTAAACCAAAAATCTACATGCAAACACAAATGCCCTTTAACACGGTCACACAGTTCTGCCTCCAAGCTAACAGTTCTAAATCCTGTCTCGATAGCCAATCGAGCTTATGGTATTAACGTGCAGATAAAACAGAACACGAGAACCAGTTACAAAAGAAAACAACGAATGGGACAAACCAGGACCAGAAGTGCTCGAGTTTGGAGCGAATTTGGGTAGATCAGTGAGGGAATGAACGACCCTTGGACGATAGACCTTCTCCACGAGATCAGCGACTGACTGGGACACTGACGGGCCCTGAATCGTGCGTACGGAGGAAAATTTGAGTGTAGCCTTCTTGGGGACGAGACGAAAGACTGTGGAACGTCCACCTGAAAGGCTTAGGAGTTGTGCCGAGGCGGGGAACTCTGTACCAGAGGCCTTAGCGCTTGCTGGAACGGTGGTGACTGTAGGCGCAAACGGATCGTTCACTCGGGTAGTGGAAATCTGAGGGCAGGGTTAAAATAATCTAATTTACGGGTTGTGTACAAAAGTATTCAGAGAAAACGAGCTCTCAGCCAAGCACTTCCTTGTAAATATGAACCCTAAAACGACAAGTTCAACCAACAAAAAGAAAGTATTCTGGCGGAAGACCAACTGTTCGCACGACTGATTCAAAATTGACCTCTAGGAACTGGACGTTTTATAAATTAAGAAGTCAAGTTCGGCAAACGTAGGCTATGGAGTATTTGTCGTCAGGTCTGTACAGTAAAAAGGCGCAGAGTACGGTAGCAAAAGTTTAAGCAGCTTATAAACAGCAACAATGGGAGAGCATTGAGGGCGTTCAAGCGCAAATGGTTATGGTCTGGTTCTGCACGGGCTCATCTTCGGTCGAGGGAACCTCAGAGTCTGTATAGAAGCTTTATGGGATTGCAAGGTCGGATTGGCTAGTCATATGACCACTGCTTCTGCCGTCGTAAGTATTTGCTTACACAGGAACTTGGGGTGTCTCGCCGGCAGTTTAGAGGTGGCTCGTAACAACTGGTTGAAGTTTACTCGATGGCCGCTGCCAATCAAGTGAGCCACAATTGCGCTAGAGATGGACTTCTCGATGCCTTGATTTAGTCAGAAAAGATGGTACCCTCGCATCCGTGTGGATAGGTACCTAGTTGTTCGACAAATGTAGACTGTCCCGCAGGAACAGGTGAGGGCGCAAATTCACACTGAAGGAATTTAAAGGGCAGTATATCCCTGCCGTCAAGACGAAGAACTGGAGTGTTTGACAAAAGTAGTCATATCGTGTAGCACAAGTGCAATTCTTTTAAGTTTCCGACCAACATGCCGATTAGGAAATCCTGCCTTACAATCCCTTCACATGAAAACTCTATCGTTTCCGTGAGGAGAATATTAGGGAACAAAGACATCTAAGGACAACACCGCTTTCTCATTGATCTTTGTATTTCCTATGAAATCAATGAATTCAAACATGTCTCATAGGCTATGTGGTGCTATGTTGTGTCAAAACGGTTTGGGTCTTTTTACCAGCCACTTTGTGCTTGCGTGATAAGGTCAATTACACATGTCGGCCGCATTGGAGGGTCTGGAGTGTGATTCATTAGCAAATCATATAGCCTTGAGAGAATTGCGCCCGTGGATTTAAGAGTTTCAAACTCCTGTTCCCTAAGGAAACCTTGACCTTTCGAGTTCCGAAGACATTTTGTAATTTCGACTGCTGACTTCTCAGCTTGGCCCTTATTTTGCCACTCTCTTTTGAACTTACTGGGATTACTCAGGATTGACTCAATTATGGAAAAGTAAAAGGTTTTGTTCAGTAGAACGAGACCAAAACAGTTTTCCGGTTTGGTGCTGGGTATTTCGGGTAGACGAAGATTGCCGCCCAAGACAAGGGAGACTGGAATAGACAGCTCTGACTTATTAGTAGGCATCAGCCAGCCCTACCCAATCTCAGGTGGTGCACCGCCCGAGGCTCGATCATGCGACCTGTTGATTAAAAGTCCCGCGCCCTAATCACTAAGCCGCGGGCTCGTTGTCTTACCCGTTTCGACCGGAAATATTAACATTGCCAATACAAGCGAACATGCGAATCCCAGGAGGTAATTGAGAAGAAGACGACCCGATCGAGTCGTCCTCTTCTTCTCAATATTAACATTGATGGATGGATGCCCAGCGATCGATTACGGGAATCGCTCGTCCTGTTCTGCTTTGGGGGTTCACTCTTGAGCCCCGCTAGCAGCTTCACAGCGGCTAATGAACTAGAAATGGTCATCCCAGTTTCTCTTGTCTTTCTCGGTAATGTCTTACTACCTATAATAGTAACCGCTGTAGGGCTACTGGCGGGGACCAAGAGTGAGCCCCAAGGCAGAGCAGGACGAGCGATTCCCGTAACCGATCAGTGGGCATTCACCCACAAATATGAGTGATTCCTCGTTTTGGCGTTATTCCCTGAGTTTCTTTAGGGATTCTTTCGTGATATGCTCGACTATTAGTGGTTTTTCTCTAAGGTCTTGGCAACAACAATCCACGAGCGTTGATTTGAAATACTCCGCCTCCTCCGGCGTTATAGTTAATAGGTCGTGAATGAATGCTGCCAGCAGGGTCCCAATAAAACACTGTAGATGAGTGCTCAGGAGGTCTACAGAGATACCACGAGAAACTGGAATTTCTACGAACTCCCCGGTAAAAATTATTTTGGAGAATAAAACCAAGCCGGTGCTTCGGTAAAAGTTAAGTTGGTCGCCCACCTTAGATACGCCTAGCCCCAGAATTCTGTCTTACGGGATCAGTGTTACTTGTTTAGCTTGGGTTTTAGTTTAACTTTGTTCCTTTTTAAAGTTTTGTTTGACTTAGTTTAGCTAGTTTAGTTTAGTATATGGTACTTATTGAAATATATTTATCTAACGTTGGCGGTTTTTAACTAAACTAAAATTAAACTAAACTAGAACTGATAAAAGTAACCATGGGACTAGGGGTATCTAAGGTGGGCGGCCAACTTAACCTTTACTGATGCTTCCACTAGTCATCCAAATTCCCGCCTGCCGATTTCTAATTGAAGATCACGGTTCTTGCTGATTTCTAACTTCGTCAGAAGTTAATCGCTAACCTAGAGTAAAACAAGCTGATGTGAGTTTTATAGGCGAAGACAGAAATTTGGGCCACAGACCATCAGCCACAGCGGGATGACCGCGTAATATTTTCCTTAAACTGCCAACAGACAGGCAGTAGTATATACTGACGTTACACTTTACGGCATACTAGCAGTAGAGGCACTAGACAGAAGCCTAGACACGTGTTCCATTTATGCCAATTAACACTAGACGATCACAAGGATGTCTCTCAGACGGCTGTGGGATTTAATCGTACCAGGAGTCCGATCCACCGACCCACTACTGTTATCACCACCCA